ATGCTCTGTCCACTTTTATCGTAAATGGTCGCACTGACTGGTATGCGACGACCTCCGGTGCTGCGTATCAGGTGAAATAGTCTATTCCCTGATGCAGAAGCTACCTCCATTACACTAGCTATTTTGGCTCACCAATTTTTATGATCTTTCTTAAGACTATTTCTGAGTTGATGTTTCAGGCGACACCATTCCTTATGCTAATCCTGGCAGATTCGGATCTTTTACTTTTGATCCATCAGAATTACTGACTCCTGCGAGATCCAATGCCTTCGGCGAACTTCGGGCTCAGTCCCACAAGCAAAGTTTGTTGCGGAGTCTCTTCTGACTCCACTGTTGCACTACTCCACTATGTCGCGGTTCTCCTAGCTCCTGTCCCAGCTTCTCTTTATAACGTGCGCAGACAGACTGANAGACTGATCGCGCATGCGATGGTGAGCTGATTAAGGAGATAATTTCTGTCCATGACCGATGAGTCTAAGAGTGAAGCGCAACAGAACTAGTGCATGGTCCGACTCAACACAGGTGGTCCAATAGGATCTGCAATTTTGTACTGAACCACGCTACCGGTAGCTTACAACTATGTGGTCAATTTGGGTCAATTTTCCCGTTGAACCAGAACACGATATAGCCGTTCGACGAGAGAAATGTGTCGAAAGTTGGTGCTAGATAAGAACAGCCGGTGATTCGCGCATAGCTGAAGTAGTCGATCACCGTTGTCTGTTCGCTGGGTGGGAACAGCGAAGTGTCCTCCCAGACAGACCTCGGATGCGCTAAGTTTTCCAACCTGCGCGTTAAAATCACCTGCCAGCACTATAATATCAAAGCTGTGGCTCAACCGAATGAGTTCGGCGAGTTTGTCGTAAGATTGGTCCTATTGTGAAGCGGGACTGCATTTAGTTGGTGCATATGCGGAAATGATGGANGCCCTTTCGAACACTAACTGAACCCTGTAGCCTCATTGCGCACAAACGACTATTGACGGGTATCCGATCTATCATCGTGACTTACGCTTTCTCGTTTAGTACGATACCTACCACACGCTGGTCCAGTGAGCGGGCTTCGTCGTTTCTTGATGTGCGAAGGAAATACCTCGAGGACAGCCCCGGCGAATTCAGGTGGCTTATAATACTAGGACTCTGAATTCCTGCTTTCGATACGCAGCAGTCTACTTTGCGCTGTACCTTTGGACGGTTCAGTACGGATCAACAGCTACAGAACGAAGCGCCGACGTTTGTTCGTCGTATCCGCCTATGCACCAACTGATTGCAGTATGCCCGAAGTGAAGGATGAGTTCTACAAGGACCTCTCTCAACTAATCCAAAGTGCTCGATCAACGGACGTCGCGGTAGTCCCTGGAGACTTCAATGCTCAAGTGGGATCCCTGGACGAAACAGAAAGGCTACCTGGTGGTTCACATGCAATCCCAACCAACCGGACGAACAATGGAGAACGACCACTTCAACTTTGCACTGACCACGGGCTGTTCCTGTCAAGCAACAACTTCGCGCACAAGCAGCGACACCGACTTACATGGAGAACGCCAACCTCTTCAAGGCGCTAGACTCCAATCGACCACATCGCCACAAGCCACTGCTGGCGAGGATCCATTGAAGACTGCCGCTCTTACTGGTCAACATCTGTGGACACGGACCGTGCTCTACTACAAACCAGACACTCCCTACGCCCAGTCAACAATCAAACAAAGGCCATCAAAAACGGATATCCACAGTACAGTGTCAGCAATGGTTGCAAGTCGGCCTTCAAAGCACAACTATCACACCGTATCTTATCTCAACCATCAGCCGGAGGACTCGGTGAACACTGGACGACAATCAAGGAAGCGATCCAAATGTCAATCGAAACAACGGTGGATACTGGTGCATGAACGACGCAAAGACGATGGAACTCCTAGACTGCAGTTGCCCTACTGGACGTTCACAAAGCCATTCCTTCGGATTTAAAATAGGACAAAGCGAGCAAATCCCTTAAACGCCACCTCACCAAGAGTCTGAAGAATGATCGCGCGAAATGGTGGACAGGAGAGTGTAGATAGATGGAAAACGCTGCGACTATCGGGAATAGTTCCAATCTTTTTTTCGTCTAATTAGTAGTACATGACAGAAAAGTAGGCGCAAGTGAGGTAATTAAGGAGTCTGACGGCACACGATCAGCAACGCCGTCTTGATCGATGGGCTGAACACCTCAAGACTCAGTTCATATGGCCCCATCGACATCTGATATTTCACCCTCTGCCTTGACTGCGCAAATACTCCCAGTTGATGCTAGTCCTCCATCTGAGAAACAAGGTACCTCATTATAATCATCATCGTACAGCGAAATACAGAGAAGCGAACTTCACTGATCGCTGCCAAACTCGAAAAGCATATGCATTGCGGTTTGATAGACAGGTACTGCCAGGGTGTCCAGCCACTAAGCAGGAAAACGATTAGGGTTCGCAACCAAAGCCTTCAGTTCTGACAAAAACCTAGCCACAAGGCATCGTCGGAAGCGAAGTGGAGGCCCATTTACTTGGATGAATTACTCCTCCACCATTTTCAACGCCTGAAACGCAAATTCTGGTCGAACACCCAACCTGGCGGACCAGGAGACTAGACTTCCTCCGACCTCTACCCTTCGACTTTCCAGGCTTAATTCGATCTTCAGCTTGAAAAAACCATCCTGTGTAGCTCGTTGGGTGAGAGAGGTGCACAAGCCATCACACCACGTCAAAGTGCAGCGTCGTTGTGATGGCAAAAGGATTCCGGTCCCGACGGGCTGTCCCCATCGGTTTTAAGGATGGACGTTCAGTCCTAGTTTCGGAGTTAACAAAACTCCTGGGCTCAGTGTGAGAGAGGGAAGAGGTTCCAGCTGAATGGTGTGAATCGGTGATCATACCGATTTACAAGAAAGGTGCCAGATCCTCCGATGAAAACCACAGAGGAATTAGTTTAATCAACATCATCTCTAAACTTCTCGCCAGCATCATACTTTGTCGATTGTCTGCCGCACCTGAACGGGACATGCCTGAGAACCAGGCTGGTTTTAGACCCGGTCCAGGTTGTATCGACCACATCTCCACTCTCCGCCAAATTCTCGAGCATCGACATTCTTTTCGTAGACCCACCCTCTTTCTTCTTGGATCTGAATGCGACTTTCGACTCTGTCGACCGCCTCATACCCTGGCACTGCCTCTCCCAAGGGTGTGCCCGAGAAGTTTATTCCAATATTACAATCCGTTAATAACCGTTAATAACCGAAGTCGAGTCCGGACTTACGGCACCTTTTCACCCGAGTTCACCACGGAAAGTGGTGTTCGTCAGGGTTGCCCTCTCTCTCCTTTTCTATGTAACTTTGTTATAGATTTGATTATGGNGGCTGGTTTTAGACCCGGTCCAGGTTGTATCGACCACATCTCCACTCTCCGCCAAATTCTCGAGCATCGACATTCTTTTCGTAGACCCACCCTCTTTCTTCTTGGATCTGAATGCGACTTTCGACTCTGTCGACCGCCTCATACCCTGGCACTGCCTCTCCCAAGGGTGTGCCCGAGAAGTTTATTCCAATATTACAATCCGTTAATAACCGTTAATAACCGAAGTCGAGTCCGGACTTACGGCACCTTTTCACCCGAGTTCACCACGGAAAGTGGTGTTCGTCAGGGTTGCCCTCTCTCTCTCCTTTTCTATGTAACTTTGTTATAGATTTGATTATGGAGACAACGCTATCCTCATTTGAGGATAGCGGCAGCCATGTGCTCCCAGATAACAGGCTGCTTGGTGTACAGTACGCAGAGGACATTGTAAGTGGAGATGCAAGTTGCAAGCTCTTCGGGATAGTTTGATTCCTAGTGAATCCATGTTCGGTATGTGTTTTGCACCTTCAGAGTGTAAAATGTTGCTCCAAGATTGGGTTGGTCCAGCATCCAGGATCACCCTAACTGTGGCCGCTATATTTCACCTGGTGGGCACGTCACAGATGAAGTGTTAGCTCGCATTCAGAAGGCACTGCTGAGGCGTAGAGCTTTAGGCAATCGCGATCGCCCACTGGAGTAAACGGTCCGCCTGCATAGATTAAGTTGCTTGGGGCATGTGCTGCGCATGTCACCAGATAGGTTGCCACGGCGAGCGATGTTTGCCGAAGCAGATTGCGGATGGAAAGAGGGCAAGGGCGGTTCAACTAAACTCGAACTAGGACAATGGGTCACATAGGTATCATCAGGCTCCCTGGATAGGGCCCTTTGAGATCACTGAAACTAGAGATTCTGAGTGATATGACTGTTTCGCAGACAGTGGTGCTCACACATCTACCCATTATTCTTGAAACCCCTATGTATATGGATCCTCCATCTCTCCCTGAACTGGCTCTTAACATTCCAATCTTCATTCCCTCCTTTTATCCGAATGGGCGGTCAAAAGACAGTAACCAAAACTGACGCACGAAAGTGTATGGCTAATGGTTGTAAACACCGAAACTGATTTGAATGCACTATGGTCCTATATTTTACCTCGACCACACAACTAGTAATAACCATCTTTTGCACCGCTAGATAGCACTCCTTCAACCGTGCTTTAGACTTTAAATTTTCATTAGACCGAGGTGTTAATTTAAGCAGTTGAAGAGAATCGTTCCGTATTCACGTCCTATGTAACACTGTTTTATATTTTACCTAGGACTTTTATTCCCTTCCTTCCTTATTTTCGGTTTATTCCATTACATTGCACAGGCATTCCGACAGGAAATCCACTGGCAAACCTTCGGCTACCGCAACCTTTATTTATTATATAACCCTCCAATCGGTTGCAACCAAGGCTAGATTACAAAATCACGTATTACGGGATCAATGGTTCGGAGGACTAACACTACCAGCACATGACCGAACGCAGAGTGCACGAATAAAATAGGAAAATATTCGGTGCATAAAGAGGGGAGAGGGAGAGGAAGGACAAAATATAGATTCCGATGAAGCATTCGTTTCCGTTGTAATCAATGTAGGATTGATGAAAACATAAAAGTAGAGCCTGTTGATAAGTTGCATAACTCAGCCTGCAGTTTACCAACATACACAAGGGGCTCATTGAAAAATTCGAAGGCCATAACAACATATCTCTTTTCGCTGAGGAAACAAGAAGCTCCCGTCGAGAACCATGATTATCCATAATCAGATAGTTTTGCAGCTGGAGTTGTGAACATCTAAAATGATATTTGGACCGTTCATGCCCCATAGCAAAAAGTTCGCCTCTTTATGTTAGGGCATTGTTTGTCAAGTATTTAACCACTTCAAACAAATTTATCTATTCACACTGTGCTATTCTTGACAATTAGAAATGGCAATTATTGCCTTCGACATCAACCTAGCGTTACCTTTTATCGGTGCGATTATGAAAACCTGAGAAACATTCATCAAAACGCATCAAAACCGACTAATGGTACGTTGCTTTTAAGGTACTACATGCCTCAAATAAATGGTCAGCAGAATGCGATGAGTGAAGGAGACACTTACTTCGAGGTCAGTTGATTAGTTCCGATTTCCATGTCTAAGTCAACGGATTCGGCTCGTCGAAGAACATTGTTTAAACGAATGTTTCCACATATTTTGTTGGTTCCATCGGTTCCATGTGTGACGGATATACGAGCGGTGGTGAAACGTTTTTCGGCAACTTTAAATGTGACCTTCAAAATAAGGGGAAGAACAATCAACTCGTTCGCAACAAAAAGCATGCACTTCAAATGATGACAAAGTATCTAAAAACTAAAATGAGAATACATTGCGAAAACATACGATGGTTTCAAGTGCCCACGTTCCGAGGATTTGTACACAATCGTTTTTCTAACTGCAAAGGCAATCATACGAAAATGATCTACAGTGTGATTGCTCCATCGTTTCACATCGTCTTGTCCTTCTCATCCGTGATCTTAAGAAAGTAAATTCCCTCNGCTAAGTAGCATGCACTCATTGAGGCGGAAAAGACGTAAACAGCACATTATAACTTTGTTTCGGTCGAAACCATCGAATGATTCATGAAGACTTCTGACCTCGATGAGTCAGATGTAGATGTCTCTCCAACTCCCATCTAGTGTTTTCGGCAAACTGCTGTTTCTCGCTTCAGTATGTTGGAAGGACGTTTTCACGTACGAACTTTGATAATCCAATTAAAGCCCACAGTTTTCTGTTCTTCTGAACCTGTAAGGTATCTTCTGGCAGTACAGTGCGATTGCTGCATCGTTTCACATCGTCTTGTCCTTCTCATCCGTGATCTTAAGAAAGTAAATTCCCTCTGACCCTTTCTGCGATCTGATTGGATCATTTCCGCGATCTGCGGCGCTTGAAATCCCTCACCCCAACACGAGATTGTCTGATTACCGGCTTGTACGTTTTGTAATGCTCTTGTTGTCACGTCCAGTCCATTCGTCTGCTGGTGGCATTGCTGCTGTGCAGTCAAAGTTCACTGTGCCTGTCTAAGACTCACGGGAGTCAACAAGGTGTGGCTTCTCGCTCGGGTTGGCTGGGCAAGCGCCAGGTCCCTGTTTGGTGGAAGAAAACTCGCCTCACTGGATTTTGCTACGCAAGCAGCAGAATGTAACACATTGAAAAATGTTTTTATAAAATAAATATGCATTTTCCCATGATATATGTGCTTTATTTCTTTCTTTCAGAATTCTGTCTCCGGCGTAGTTAGCGAGAGCATTCAATGCGAAAATAGCTAGTTGGGAAACAACCAAGGAGAGTTTTGCGTGGGCCTGTATTAGGGGATATTGTTGTCCGTTATTAAGACAAGTTCAAAGTTTTATTATGGTTATCTGTTTACCAAACCCGCTTCGAAAAATAGTCCGTGTATCTTAGACGAGTCAAGCGTTGGTCCAGTGTCACCATCACTTGAGCATTTTTCATTCCGAAATTCCCACATGGCGCACCGCTCCACAACTGATTCTCTTGTGGTGATTCTCTACCAACAATTAAGCAGCATCGGATTTGGAACCTATCCTCCTCCTGTGCCGGCCCGAAAATCACGCGACCGATCATGTTCATTTATCGATCGGTGGGGTGGTTCAGCCGCAACAAGGGTGCTTACCCAGCCAACCCGAGCGAGAAGCCACACCTTGTTGACTCCCGTGAGTCTTAGACAGGCACAGTGAACTTTGACTGCACAGCAGCAATGCCACCAGCAGACGAATGGACTGGACGTGACAACAAGAGCATTACAAAACGTACAAGCCGGTAATCAGACAATCTCGTGTTGGGG